CCCCCGTCCCCAGCCCCCAGCCCCCAGCGAGCAATCACACCTGCCTGGCACCAACCTGCTCAGCTACCTCTCGGCTCATGGCAAGTGCCAACTGGAGCTGCAGCTCTTCCTCTCCGCTCGTCTGCGGCCGGGCCTGTTCCAGCTCGGAGGACACCCTCGGGGAAGTGGCTGCGGGGGGGAAAGGCAGAGTCACCGCATGCACGGGACAGGCTCACGCTCATGGTTACCCGGTCAGACCACACCTCGTCCCCATCTCAACACCTGCAAAGCCCGACAACGTGCGCGCCGTACAGGAGAGGCCTGCGAACAGGTTAAAATCAGGAACGCCAAACTCGGATTCTCAGGGACGTAAGCCCTGTGGCCGGCCACGCTCAAGGCAAGAGGCCTTCGGGGGCAAGGCCACGGGCCCGGCCTCACGAGGATTAGAACCTCCGTGTTCGCTTCAGAGCGGTACTGCTTCAAAGAGAGAAACTAATATATATGTGTATTTTTTTACAAAATCAAAAGTATTGCTCCTGAAGAGCTGGATCCAAGAGCGTCACTCACAAAGGCACAGGGCCTCTGTGGACCAAGAACTTCACTTGAGACACCCGCCAGCATTTCAGAATCTCACTTTGTATCGCATGGTGGTAAAGATCACGGAAAGCGAAGCCCAAATGGTTCTGCAGCAACCCCGAAAATCTTTGTTTTCTACGTAAAACTGTGCATTGACTTGGGAAAAACTTTTTTTTTCTTGCTGTCAGCAGTTAGCTAGTACCAACACTTGTAAGCAGCTTCTGGAAAGACAGTTTTACCGACAGGATGGGATGCGGGCTCCTGGCTGATAAAACAAAACTCCAGGAAAGGCTTCTCTACGCGTTCACACTTACGCAGGGCTGGGCCTCCCCGGACGGAAAACGTGGGCACTTACAAGGCCATCGGGAGGTTCTGCACATCAGGGAGTGTGGGTGTCGCCAGAAACTGGACATAAAACTTTGGGAGCATGGGGCCACCTCTGCCTCCACCCCAGAAGAGGGTCCACAGCTTTCTGAGATTCTCAAAGCCAGGCCCCACTGCCTTCGATGGTTCCCCACTCCGTCCTCCCTCTGGGCCTCCCTGCAAAGCCATTCCCTCAGCTCAGCCAGCCAACTCCTAGGTTCTCAGAGCTCAGCTCCCCTGCCCTGGTCCTGCTTGACTGCCCTCCTTGCTGGGGCTGGGTCAGCAACCCCACCCCGCCATAGCACTCCCCCCTATCCTGCAGTTTGGTAGATCATGCCAGAAGGTACGCTCCTTGAGGAGGGTCCACGCCTGTCTTCTCACCATTACATCAATCCTCAAACTTTGGCAGAATGGATGGCAAATACCCACTGGATAGACACCTGGAAGCATGCACAGATGGATGGACGGACAGACAGATGGAGAATTCAATTTCATGGTGGATGGGTAGTTGTTCGAAAATGCTCTAATTGTGTATCAGTTTTCTTCCTTCTTTCATTTTGTCCATTTCAGCAAACCCAACCATCAAGCCTCACCAACCCAAATGCTGTTCCCGCCTGAAACTCCAATCTGAACTTGGCTTCTTAGGATTGCCTCTTTGGGAGAAAGTAAATAAGGTCAGGAATGATTCCTGAAAGATGAGATTTCTAGTTGGCTAGGCTCTGGCTACCGTGAACAAAACATGGTTAAGAGGACTAGACACAGTTAGGGTAACAGGAGAACCAGGCAAAGCTGCAAGGGGCCGAGGGCGGGGCAGGGCAGGAGAGACTAAAAGGCAATGCTTTGTCACACAATGTTTTTGACAAACACACAGCTGTTAAGAGTTCATTTGGAACAGTCCTGTGTCATGAAGCACAGTGTATTTGCTATGATTTACTGTCATCTCAAAGAACTAGGAAAAAAAAAAAAAGCCAGCAACCAATTGCCTCACATCTACTCTAAGCTACAAGAACAAAACAAAGACCGAAGGAAGGAAGGAAAGAAAGAAAGAGAAAGAAAAAGAGAAAAAAGAAAGAAAGGAAGGAAGGAAGAAAGAAAGAAAAAGAAGAGGAAGGAAGGGAGAAAAAGGAAGGAAGGTCGGTCAGTTGGTCAAGCTGAATCCCAGCCTAGTTATAGCACATTTACCTTTTCCAAAGTATTTGTTTTAAAAATACAGCTAGATGGTAAGAAAATGTCGAGGCCCCCTTAATAATCGGATTCGTTAACCACGTACCAAGACAAAAGTACATTTTTTGTTGTTGCCGGGTCTGTGCCCAAGCCTCCCCTATGCCGGTAACAGTGCTTAGGTCTATCTGAGCTTTCTTGTACTCCAGAAGCAAAGGAGTCACCACCCAGATTTGCTGGAGACTAGAGAAGCCACACAGATTCGGGGAACGGTTCTGGAGGCCTCTTCTCAGCTGCCTGTGGTTCCCACACAGATCCCTGGCCACTCGGGCTGCCTGTTCCCAGCCGCCTTCCCAATAATCTCAGGAGCTCGCTTCCCAGAACCCTCTGTTTATAACGAACACAGCACATTCGGCACCCTTCATTCACTACCACACGGAAATGGGGGGCACATAAAGAAGACCTATATCCCATCCCACACCCCGAGAAAGGGCTCTGAAAAAGGAGTCCCATCTTGGCTCCTCCTGGCAGGGAAAGCTGCCACTTGGCGGCCCCGCCACAAGGCCTGCTTCAGCCTGGCCAGGGATGAATGCGACGGGGCTCTGAACAGGGACGTTCTAGAGAAAGGAGCCTCCCTTGTCCTATGAGCCTTTCGGCACATCTGCAAGACCAGACTGGCTTCAGATGCAAATGTACATGTCCCTGTCTCCATAACTGACACTGGTCGGATAATGCACAGCCAGCACATACGGAAAGAGCTTACCACATCAGTGTGGAAATTAAAGACACAGGGTATTCCCCTAAATGCTGTGGTTTCTGTCAATGGATGTACAGCTCTCAGTTCCGCAGATGGCACAATTCACAGCCACCGGCCCCAACTATCAGCTGAGTTGCACACAGCGGTCTCCGCTGCGAGGGACGACTCCAGCGGAGACATTCTTGACTTAGTGACAGCAGCTCGGCCCCACAAAGGGCCCCCTGTGCCCGAGTATATGGCAGTGAACACAGATGGGCTTGTGAGACGGGCCTGAATGCACCCTTGTGACCACCTGAGCCTGGCCCAGCTCGGAGGGGCTGCAGGTCCCCAGGTTTCACAGGGACCCCTGGAAAACGCCAAGTGCCCGAGAGAGAGCTTTCCCACCCGCCACCTTCTGGATGGAAGACTAGGAACCGTTAGTGTAGGCTAATCACCAGCGAAGCAGCAAATGATCCATCACGCTTTTCCTACCACTAAGACGTCTTTTCGCATACGGATCCCACCTGGAGGAACTCAAAAGTCCTCGCTTGCTGTGGCCGAGAACTGGAAACATCAGCTAGGCCTCAATTTTGACCCTTTTGGCCTGTTAACCTGGCTGATAAAGCCCAGGGGAAAGGCTGAAGAGGAAGCCTATAAAAGCCAACTTTCCCCTCCAAATACAGGCTAAGAGGAAGACCAGTGCATCCAGAAACACCTCCCCCTGCAGGGAGACGAGGGAGTCTGGCATTCATACCACCACCCTCCCCCCCACCCCGGGGAGTGCCAGGCTGAGTGGGCATGCCCACACTCCGGGCTTCAGGAAGGACCCTGCTCCCCAAATGTGCTCCCAAAGCAAAGGCTGAAAGATTTTCTAACAAAGATGCTTCAGCTGGCCAATCTCCGGCCATTGTGAAAGAAGAAACCAAAGCAGTCAAGGTAAGAGGAAAACAGGAAATCACTTCTCAGGCTGTTTCGCTATTTTCCTAGAAAGCACTTATGCAGCGTCTGCAATCACATCGATTAAAGGGAACAGACACCGTGGGACATAGCCTGACGGGCAAAGGGCTCTGCGTGGTGAGCAGTGTGACTTCTGTTAAAGCTCTCTGGTCCGTGAGCCCCACACAAGGTGAGCGCCTGGTCTCCACGGGTCCCCAGCAAATCGATGCTGGGCGCACAAGGCACAGCGGACACCTCGGGGGCCCGAGAAGACCCCATCTGGTTCTAAACACTGCTGCCACCATTTACAATCCTGGGCCTGTTGGTGGACAAGCATGCCAGGGTTCAAATCCCGTCCCCGCCACCTACTATCAGGGAGACCACGCGCAAATAGCCTGACTTCTCCGGGCTTTTGTATCCACATCTGTGAAATGGAGACAAATGGGGTCTGTGGGAGAGGTCAGGGGTGTCCATCACACGGCTGGCTCTCCCCGGAAAATGTGCCTTTCCCCAGGTCACTGCTCTCTATTCCATTCCACGACCACCGGACGACCTAGGGACTAGAGCTGGCTGGCACTCCCAGTCTCCACCTCACACAGCAGAAGCCATAAATACGTATCCTGTTGTACCCTGGCCCTTCCCAGGCCTCCATGAGAACGACACTGGGGCCACGGTCCTTTGAGGGAGGAGCTAGGGAGTGGATATTGAACCCCAGCGCCAGCTTCCGCCCTCCAGTGACCAGTTCCCCGGCCAGCTAAGTTCCTTCCTCATTACTAAACTGCAGCAAAGTGCTTACTGGATCTTTCTCAATGTGGTGACATCTTCCTGTGGTTCCATGGGCCACTTCCTGAGCCAGCAATGAAACCTCGGCCACCCCCACCCAGCAGCCTGGCCAGAGCTGAGGCTCCGAAGCCTGTTCCCACAGAAGACCCTCCAGGATCTTCATCTTACCTCCTCACGGGGAGGGGCAGGAAAGACTGCTTTCAGTCAAAGGAGGTAAATTATGACACAGTAAGTTCAGATCAGCCCAGGTAACATTAAAAGAGAAAAAATATAAATACATGGTTGGAAAAGCCAAAAAGGTACAAGATGAGAAGGGCATCCAGTACCACCTGTCAGATCCCTTTCAGGCCAAAGGGTGTGTGTGTGTGTGTGACTTCACAACAGAGGGACAAACCAAAGCCCCTCATGCTGTGACCACCCTCTGCCTGTCACATGACATCACCCACCTCCCAGGACAGTTCAGTTCCGGCAAAATCTCTGATCTGATTCCAATCCGGACTCTAGATTGAGTCCCGGTTCACTGAACGATAGGGCGGGGACTGAGCCAAACACCGCACAATGTAGTAGACAGACAAACCCAGACCAAGGGACGCTCTATGGGACAACTGGCCCAGTCTTTTAGGATCTCAAGGTC